AACAAGTGACGTAGGGAAGGACCTCCTACTATTTGTTATCAAGTATTATTGAAATATATGTCGAATTAACATTTGATTTAACATTTATTTTAGTACTTGAAAGAAAGTTACCAAGTGGTAGGAAGCCCTTCTCTTACACCACACTTTCCACTAGGGGCAAAAGTGTGGTAGTCGAAGGGCCTCCTACCATTTAGGTTTGGTAATTACCGAAATTTATACCAAATTAACAATCGGTTTAACATGTATTTCAGTACTTGAAATAAATTTAACAAGTGGTAGGAGGCTCTTCTTCTACGCCACTTTTTCCCCTAGCGGAAGCAGAGTTTGCTCGTGAGGGTACGTGCGCGTTCCGTCGTCGTCCCGGAGCTGCACGGCAACTTCATTCGGGAAAATATCGGCGAGGAACGCCGACAGGTTGACAAAGCATTGCTACGTGCCCGCTTATCGCACCTCTATCCGCCCCCCCCTGCCGTCCACCTGAAGGCGAAAATTTATTGGATACGTACGATTTCCATCGAGGGCCACGTATATTTACCCGTTACACGCGCGTCATTACCGATGATTGACGTTTCTAGTCCGAGCCCAGACGTTCGTACGCGGCTGTGCTGCTCGTCGAAAATCGTGAAATGAACGCAGGTATGGCGGCGATACATTTTTCCCACGACGCACATTGAGCCAGAAACCCAAGAAATAGGGAAAAGTCAAAATTTGAAAATTATGGGATTACATTTTTTTTGTATATTTTTATAAATTCAGAATTTGAGCTATTAAAAAAGATTAAATGATCACAGTAGTTTACTTCTAGTCTATGTGCAAACACGCGTTAAAGTTTGTATGTTCTTGTGCAGAACTGTAAGTTGACTTTTGCAAGTTTTGATTATATGTAAGAACGAAATTTAGTAAAATCAAACTAATAATAGCAAATAATTCATTACATTTGTTCCATAAAAAAATTTGTTCGATGACTTGAATTTTTTAACTCTCCTTTTTGATGGACTTGATCACTCCACATTCTAGACAGTATCAATAACGTGAAGTCGAGAAACTCGAGGAAATTGTCAGGATTTACATGAAAATCTCTCAAGTACAAGCTTTAACATCTGCTTCTCTATAATCGATCGTTTCTGAACGATGCGTACTGAGAAACAGATTAAAGCGGCGACGGATATGCCTTCCCCGACGGCAGCGGCATTCAGACCCGCGTTTCTATTCAACCGTTCGAACATCATCGGGAATTAAATATGATCCGTCCGTTAAACGGAGTCGCCGAGGGATCGATCGGTTGTAATCCAAAGGAGATTTCTGTTTTAATCGCGTGTCCGGTGTTGCAGTCGCGGATGAATTTATATCGAACAGATCGGCATTGTCGGCGCTACGTGAGCCATCGCGACGAGCCGCGTGTATAGAAGAGATCGATACGCCTGTAACTTGAAATATCGATCGGAGCACAGATCGATAAGAATATTCAGTCGCGGCCCGAACGTGGAAAGTTCGTTTCGCACAAACGATCAGTGGTAGTTATCTGCCAAAAAGGACAGTTCCCGTAATGAAAATAGAGCGTAAGCCACGACCCAAAGTTCAAAATTGGATTTCGAGGCGGAGCTTGCGTGGCCCCACAGATCCCACCCTTTACGCGACTATTGCCAATGGAATGATCTGCCAAATGAACGCTCGTGCGGAGGTGCCTACGTGAATCATATGACGGATCGTACGCGCGTTTCGCACGCTAGGCGTCGCACAGTGGTACAGAATGACTTACGTTTATTCGAATCAGTCTACAGGTCGCAATTTTTTAAGTAAGTTTGAAGCTCTTTTTCTTTAAATTCTTCGTAACGAAATTCTTTATCGACGTGTCCAGCCTAAAGTTTCAACTTCGTTGTTCGTTTATTTGGGTATAGTTAACGAAACATACAGATTTTTAATACGATCATTATCTGTGGGGTTTTTTCTTTCTGACAAAAAACAATTAAATCGTTCTGATATTATTGCTGAAACAGATCTTTCAAATAGGAAAGTTGAATTCATGGACTACTTAATAACACGATAATAATAAAAATATGTAGTTCCATTAAAAAATTGCATTATTATTAAAATCAAATATTCTAGTGCGTTTGCTCTATAGAATCAAATACCGATCATGTGAAACATTTTTTCGCACTTTCAATAGCTAGAGACATAATAGCTTGTATACACTTAAACCGAACATACTGTGTATCCATCTCTAGGTAATCGAGTATGCTGTAAATGTATCACGACCAAACTGTGGACGTTTATGCAAACATAATTTTTCGTCGATTAATATGTACCAGAAAACAGATAACGTTTAGTTATATTCGTTAGTGAAAGCTGTCAATATTCTAAAAATGAAGTAAAATAATTTATAGCTTGACTAATGAGTTTCTTTTATTTTATCCTGTCACGTATAATTTGCGTGCGCTTCAGATGCACAAAGTCCACCGACCGATCATACGTGATTCAGAAGAGAAACTACGAGAGAGCGAAATTCAGCGATGTCTTTTTTGGTACCGTTTCTGCGAGCACCACGACTCGTATCAAACGAGCTGAGTGTGCACACCGGAAGAACCATTCGGACCGCGATAGAGCAACCGAAATTCACGTGTGCGTGCTCTCTGGTTGACTTCGAGAGGCGAACCCGCGAGCCAGTGACGCCGATTATTTAATTATCGGAGGCAATACGCGAAGTGAACAATTATCGGTAATTAGGTGCGTCACGGACGCGTCTGTGCGAACGATGCTTGAAACGATAATATTAATGACGAACGCGCGCTCTCGCCATCGGGGAAAAAACGAGACGATATTGCAATCCCCTAAAATGCATTCCCTCATTATCTATTTTACCGTTGTATGTAGACTGAATTGAACAAGACATGAAAATAATTAAATTGATTTGTTTTTATTAACGAGCTTGGGGGGAGGGTGGTACCAATGAGAGAAATACCGCGTTAATGGGAAATGAGAATTAATGAGCACGCGAGTAATTCCGACGTGCAGATGGTTTCTGGATAATTTAGAATTTCATCCTGCATTTGACGGCGAAATATCAAGCTGGCTTACTGGCGGGTACAAATATCTGATACGTTATTATACATGACTCGAATGTTTCTATACGAATAAACTTGTTAAATTCTGATTTCTGTGGTCGACCACAAGTTGTTCTATCTTTCGTGGATAGTCAATGCTCAAATTCTGTTCAACTGATTCCTTGTGTTTTGTGTCTAATAATACATGGAATTTTCGATTGCTCATTTTCTTAATGATTTCCATCGGCCTGGATAGCATCGAACAAATCATCACGCGAACTCTACGAAATTTGTATGGCTGAGTACGTTCTGTTACAGGTGAAATCCACGAGTACAAATCTACAGATACAAAAAGTTTGCAAATAGGTAAACTTCACTTTTAAATTCGTTTTCACTTTCCATTCGCTAAAAGTGCAATTTAATGGTCTGTGTAGACTTTATTTGGCTGTATAATGAACGAAGAAAGCAGTTTCACAGTTTATTTCTCGCTGGAAGATAACGATCCTTTTCGCCGACGAGTAACAAAACACTGGGGGGTCGATTGAAAAAAAACCGATCGACCGGTTCGCGACAAGCCGCGGTGAAACAAGATCTCACTCGTTAGGCGAGAAAGAGGAGCTTTCACGCGCGGCTCGCTATACGAATCACTAGTTTTTTTTTCTCTCTCTCTCTCTCTTTCAGTTAATGCACGTGATTTTCTTTTCATACCCTCTAAGGCGAGCTGTTTGCTTTACGATCTCTTTCACGATGGAGCGAACTGGGGGCGTACCAAGAAGCGTAAAAATCTGCTGCAACCGAACTTTGGAGTAGCACTAGTAGCAGAAGAGCAAGATAAATTTGTTCTTTCGTTTTAACACTAAACTTACCACGACCGGTCAAAATGACCAGTTTCGGTGTACTAATTCTTACGTCTCTGAAGGGTTCGGTAGGTTTAATGTTAAAACATTTTTATAGTCGATTCAACCGAAATATTCGATCGTTCACTAAATTCTGTGGACCGCTCGTGGTGCTACTGAGTTTATATTTCACGATGATTTTCTTTTGGGCGAACTTGTCGAAGAATTGCTTCCTCAATCGACTTGAAAAATAGCTTGCAGTTGTAAAATTCAAAATTCAAAAAAAAAACAGTGATGCTTTATTTTCATAAATATTTAGTTAAACATTTAATTAAAATAATAGTTAACGGCCAAATAACAGAAAAATTTCCTATAATCCATAATCCTTTTGGGTACTTTCGAAAGTCCACAGAAACCATCGAAAAGTTTGTTTCCTCGACCAATCCTATCACCGAAAATCCTATTTCAAAAACGAAAAAAAAAATGAAAGAGATCAATGGAAACAGCACAGCAGTAATTTTCGCCTTCGAAACTATGTCTCGCCGTGCGACACGCGCCTCCGTGGAAAACATTCGATTCAGAAGGCAGGGACAAACCGTGTTGCGTCTGGAAGGCACATTTTTCCCCCGAATATGTTCCTTTTTTTTTTTAATCTGCTAATTAGACGTCGGATGAAATATTGAGAAGAATGTCGTCGTCGGAGAGGCTCGCGCTAGTGCGCGAGTAATTGGAAGAATATGTAACGAGCACGTAAAATGAATGAAATGAGCGAATTTCCTCAGGTTTTATGGTGGCGTAAGTACAGGAGGAGGGAGGGGGGCGGTTACGTAAGAGGAACCGTGAATTTAGAGCGTTTCCATTATTTGCGGAAGCATTTCTCCGCGGGATTCTTTTTCATGAATATTAACGGCGGAACTCGAGAGAAAAAGAGAGGCTTATGCTTTTCTCTCTCACTCTTCACCCCTTTTTATTTTTTTTTTTTCAACTTCGTCTTTTATCCCCTGATTCGTCCATTCCCAGGTACGTATAATGAGTCGACCTTTGGCCGTTTCGTACGGTGGCCGGCCGCGTCTCGAATGGGTGGAGAAACGGTAAAAGGGTAAAATCGGTTTTATGCACTCACCTTCGCGAAGTCGATCTTCAGTGTGCAGCAACCGGAGTATATGTCCGCTCCGTGAAGTGTCTCCTTCGCTCTCGTCGCTGATTCCACCGAGTCGAACGTGGTTCCGGAGGATTCAGTTAAGAATATATATATATATATATATATGTGTATAGACACGATGTTCTTCGTATGAGTTTACCTGACCGACAGAAAATGCTCTACGGAGGATATGCCCGCGGATACTACCGTCAAAGAGGATTTCCATCGAGTTAACGCGTACCGTTTACGACCAGGTATAGAGGGTAAAACTTACAGTTTTCCTGCGAGGGAAAAATTGTATACGTCGCGGACCAGACAAGCTATGCGGAATATTTAAGGGAATACAAACCTTTGAGCTGTTAAATAAAAGGGAAAATTAAAAAATTTATTCATATGTTATTTTTTAATAAGTTCTGAAAAATTGAGCTATACATCTATCAACAGAAGAAAATGGCTGCTCAACAGAAAAAAATATGTGTGTATAATTTCAAGAATTACTTAGTTACGTTAGCTTGTAGTACATAATTAGCTCGTACAGCCAGTTCCTGAGATGTAAAGGCTGTTTTACTTTAATAACTGCTTACATAAATTGAAAAAGTGTAATTAAGTACGCTCACTTTTCCTATTATTATCTCACTATTCTCCTGTACTAAACACTTTGTTTAAAGAACAGAAATCTGCCGGGACACACTCGGTACATTAAAGAAAGTAATCGAAAGTTTCAGCAATCAACAGAAACGAATTTGAATGCTTCGATTATTATAATTCTATATAAACATCATATTAAAGTGACAAACCTGACGTGGTAAGTTTTCAAAGCTCATTCACAGTATTCAACCGATAAAAAGTACAGACAACGCCCGTTTTTTCTACACTAATAACTCAAATACGGCAAATTTTTAATTACGTCATTATTATAGCAAATTAGCGACATCACCTCGACACCGAAACGATTATCGTAAACCTTCCAAATTACTTCACGAGTTCCTCGATCCTTAAAAACCTGAAATTTCTTGGATCCTGCAAAATTCTCCAGTCACCTCAGGCACAGTATCAAAGAAAATCTATAAAAAAAAAAAAGATTCCCGAAACTTTATAGATATTCTACCATCGACGCTTCCCGCGCGCAGCAGCGTTACAGCATCGGAAAAAAGGTAAAACTTCCGAAAGTTTAATAGTTTCGCGCAGTCCCGCATAAAAGGAAACGGGCCAATTAAGTAGACGTTCATCCAATAAGCGACGAGAGTTACTCGACGATTCTACGGGCAACGCTGGCTGTATCTAGTGCTCGAGATAACCGTGTGCCGGAAGATCCTGTAACCCTGGTTTGTGTCGTCCGCTCTAAGTTCCGGTTATAAATCCTCATCGTCATTGTAACGGTGGCGCGTGACCGACAAACTTTCGCAACCAAGTCATTCCGACGAAGTGTGTCGCGACGGAAATCCTCTTGGGCTTAAATCCCCATCCTATCGCGCGACAAGCAACCCCACGCCACCCAGCCCCTGGTACACGACGAAAACGCGGTGGTCCACCGAGTGGGGACAGATACGGTTCTATTGCAAAGGATATTCCACCATGGCTTGGACGCCGTTTTTCTTGAAGATAACGATACGCCGTACTTGCCCGCTGGGCGCGCTGATCGTGTGCAACACTTCCTGTAACAGAAAACGCGAGACATAATGTTAGAAAAATTGTGGACTTTACGAACATACGACAGAAAGTGTGGTACAAGCAGGCAGTAGGTGATTCCTTGTGGAGAATTAAATCGAAAGAGTAGAATAAAACTTCTGAGACTTCGTTTTTGAGATAATCGCATTTGAAGATTTTCTGTAAGAATCATCCTTTTGGCTGTACCCTGTATATTCAGAGTTAAGAATACAGTAAACATCATATTTATATATTAAAAGGTACAGTAGAGTCTCCACGAGAGTTTAAAACTACGAACAGCTTCACAACTTTCACGGTACACCACGAATCGTTTCCATACATCACAAATTTATTTTTTACTCGAAGCCTCGACAACATGAGCCAATTGGGGGGAGGGGGGAGATTATGCGCTTTATAGGTTCCACAACCCTTCCCCCTGATGTGGGGATGAAGTAGAAAATCTAACGAGGAACTTCCTAACCAACTTTCATGAAGTATTTATTGTACTAGGTCAAAGAAAAACAGGATCTAGGAATTTAACATTTCCATACATTTCGAACCCCTTTGTTTACTATAAATTTGAACGTTTGAAGCTTCAGAAAATGTTTCCGACGATCATGAATATTCCGAAAGCATTACAAAAGAGATATTCCATTGTTTCGATCTTTAAAATTTGTATACGCCCGTCCCTCAATTTACGCGAATTGTTTGCTCCGTGTGGTTCTACTTTATGCGGATAAAAACCATCTAAATGGAGTCTGCCTGTACGAAAAAAAAATTCACGAGAGACAAGGCAGTATAAATTATAAAAATATTTATTTAAAAAAAAAAATAAATAGAACGAATACTCCGCGTAAATCGAGGGACAGGTGTTCTCTCTTGAACAAATGAAAAAGACCCCGGGGAATAATAAAATAGTGACCGTCATCTCCGTGTTCCGCGTGAAAAACGGATACTGGTCGGTGAAATATTCCCCGCGACGTACATACTTCACATTCAAATCCGACATTTTTCGTGCACATCTTATTCCAAGCGCGTGCAGAATAACGCTCTAAAAAGCTTCACGTCCCGGCGTTTCGCGGGTGTGCTTCTCGGCGCGGGTCGTATATCTTCCGGGACAGTCTGTGAGTTTATCGTCCGGTTTTCTCGAAATTTCAATGCCGTCTCGAAAAGAGAATCTCGCGCTCGATCCAATACCTGCGTATTTATAGGTTTCGCGAGTGATGCACCATCGCCTTAACGACTTCAAAAAGTCGTTATCCAGGTTCACGTTGGTGGAATCACAGCTGGAAACCGATCTGGAAAAGCTATCCACACGCGATTCGACACTTTGCATCGTGATGTTTACGAAAGATTCGGTGGAGTTTGCGAAAGATTCGATTTCCACACCGCGAGCGAAAAATGTGTAGATGGAGGGATCGAGTGTGATGCAAATCTCCGCTATAATTATACATCTGTTCGGCTATCTAAATGTTTATGAATTTTAATACCCATAAATGTTCGATGGTCACAGACCAATAAAGTGGGAAACCGGTTGTGGATATGGGTTCAACGAGAGATTGTTTGATATTAGCCTGGGGTACCTTGAAATTCTTCATCGAAGCAATCACTGTTAAAATCCGATAAGTTTAGTACCGTATATTGTCTGAGTTAATACCTAATCTTTCACAGTTAGTTCCGCAGTTATTCAGACATCCAAGAAAAAAGAGGTTTTATAATTTTCCTCGTGTCGTCCTTGACTTTTATCGTTTGCCATTTTAATATAGGCAACGGTTTACATCATATTTATTTTATTTTTTTACATCATATTTATTTTATTTTATTTTCTTGGACATAAATAATTAAGGCATAAACACAAGTTATAACCGATGATTAACTATTAAGTTAATAGATGTTACACAGAATAATAGAAATTAGTAGAATCCTTGGAAAGCCAGTTAGGATAAATAACTTAGACTGTTTCTGGACCCTAAAAAGTACGCAGAACATTCTACCTTGACTTGAAAAATGAAAAGCACATGGGATTCTCTGGAAAACCTTGAAAAACGGTAATTTGTTAGATTGAACATTTCAAGTAAAGAGGGCAGTATAAATGTCCGTTCTATCGTTCATATACCTTCATACAAACATTTCATTCGTTCGATCAAATACTTTGGGCATTTCTGCATCCTCATCCTGTAAAAGCATCAAAACATTGAACGGTATACGAACAAAAAAGAATGGAGACCCGGCAATTGGAGTCGTTCAAAGACCAGGTGCGCCGTTTACCTGTAGCTGCACACGCCGGCGTACTGGAATCTCGCCGGCGAGGCGGCTGATGACGCAGCATGGCGCCTTGCCAAACCCACTTTTGAGCTTCAACCACCTCTCTTCCGCGGGGACGAAGCTTTGCGTCCAAACGATAGGGGGCAAGTCGACTTGCGAATCTCTCAACGTTTGCACGACGAAAAATACGAACGCTCACGGATCCCTTTAACCGGAAAAACTACCCGAGCTGCGATCCTCGTCCACGGGCCGACAAACTTGTCCACGCGGCATCATCAATTTCAAGGAGTCAGCACAGCTGTATCCACACCGGTACACGCTCTGTTTTCCTCTGTTTCCGGAGATCCGGTAACATGCATTTATTGCCCGCCCCCTGTTGCCGAACCTGACGATTTTTCTGTGATCATCAGCAGAAAGAAGAATTGGAAATTTCGGAAACTTCGATTGAATATGTGGAATGGATAGATAACGATCTCTCCACGTTGTATGGATGGTTGTGAATTCTCTCAGCTCTCAAGACATGGCTGAACTTATTGAATGACTTAACGCGTATTTTGAAAAACGTTGACCAATACTGACGTCAGATTGGGCGATTGATCGCGACTAGCGTTCTCTTATATTTTTTTTTCTTTCACTCGTTTATGTATTATTTTTCGTTTCGTTTTCATGGTAATTACGGAATAAATGCATTTTGAAAGAACAAATGTTGAATAAACCGTGTCCTACAGATACAATATGCATAAAAATTCTTTTGTTTCTTAACGTTCATCGGTAAATGTACCTAAAATCATATTCAGTAGACAGTTAAAAAAAAAAAAAAAAAAAAAAAAGATTACTCGATTAGAGGAATTCTAGAGTGCTCACTGACGGCTAACATCGATGGTCGCGCACAAAAAGGAACCTTGCTACAAACAGATCGGTCCCGGAGTAAACGTGCGACATGTTCCAAACACTTCCATTATCCACGTGGCAGCCAGACAAACAGATGAAATCTCTGTGGACACTTATTCCTCTCTCCTCTATCATTTCAGGCACCGTGCAAAGGGGGGACCAGAATTGAACAGAACCATAGATACAGTCATTCACCCAATTCAAGCGTAAACAGAAGCAAAATGTGGAACACGACTTCTGGCTATTAATCCAACCTATCAGAAGCTTCAATCTAGATCAGAGGGTATCGTCCATTTGTGAAGACATTCCGGTGGGAAACAGGGGAATATCGGAGGAGCGCGATGAACTGTAATGCACGATTCATTAGGTCGCTGATCACGGATAGTAGAGGGGCAACGCAATGTTTGCTTCTCGGTGGAAGCATACCAGGGATCCATCGCCTCGGACTTAATTATCCGGCGTTTCCATCCTGGCCCGATGAAAGTAAAGCTCCTTTGTGCCGTCCGAGAACTCGAATAGGAGATCTTTTGTTGTATCTCTGTGGTGCGGCACACGGTGTAAATTCAATACGGCAGAGCACGAGTCTTCGCAACCCCTTTTTCTCGCCCGTCGATCTTAACAAAGCCAAGGGGCCAGAGGCAGCGCCTCCGTCCCATTCGCCGTTTAAACGATACGACGAGGAAACGGCCAGGAATCGCGATAAGAATATAGGTAATCCCTCCCCCGCCGGCAGTTTCCTTTTGTTCGTTGGAAAACGTATTCGCTACGGAAGAAGACACGGACGGTGTCGAGCGGAAATGAGAGCCTGGTGTCGGAGGTGTCGCTTAATAAAATCCTCGTGTTGATGGCGGGAGAGGAGAAACGGAAGGGTGGAAAAATTTCCTCGGGATAGCGACGACGGTGGTCGAGGCGTTCTAATCAAGAAGATGACCGATTAGAGTCAAAGACACACTGACGAGGCACCGAAAGCCGCGAGAAGGACCGACAAGGCTGCTTTGATCCGCGTGTTTGAATAGCGGGCGACGTTAATGAATATACGTTCTGTTATTACTGGGAGTTTCGAAATTACTACTGGGGGGGATAAAAATATCCTCTTGGGCTCCCTCCGACTTGACGACATCTTGGAGATTATGGTAAGAGTCAGACGGGAAATATGGGGCAAAGATGGTGTATGGTAGCGCGTGGTACATGAATCGATGTTTAGGGTTCTAGTGTATTTTATCGGGTACTACTGGGTACCAGAGATGGCGTGAACTGCTACTTGTTAATCACGAGTGATTCGATCACGTTCGTTCCCAATCACGGTGATTTTTCACAGTGATTCGTGATTTTTCGTGATCGTTTCTGATTGGTGGAGAAACATAACTAATTAAACCTTATTAACTCCTTCAGACCTGAAAGTCTCATTTGTGTACATGAAGTTTCTTACAATTTCACATAAAATCTTAGATACATCGTGTTGTAGATCCATACATTTCTTATAAATTTGAATTTTTTCAATTTCTGAATGTTTTTAATAGATCCAGTGAATTCACAATTGAATAACAAACCTTTTTTAAAAAATTAAACAAAATATCATCTAAATAGTCTACTGAGTTAAAATGTGTAATCAAATATTCTTTTTACTTTAAGAAAAAAAATTCAAGTCTGAAAGGGTTAACAAGTCAATATTACACTCGGAGACCTCTCGTTGTCAGTGCCGAGGAGACTTCGACCACTCGTCGAAGATTTACTGTAATCTATTTATCTAACGCCAACTCGGTACGTTTCCATGTGTAAAGCACAGTTTCCAAATCACGTCCACCTATCCGCTATCGATCAGGACATATAAACGGCCGAAAGATTAAGAGCA